AACCAAATACCTCATTACTGAGAAGTGATTGTGCTCCCAAATGTTTTATCTACTCCAAGTAAATGAGAAGTTATATACCGAGATCTTTTTTTTTTTAAAAAATCAATTATTTGTGAAACCAGAAATTTTGGCTCACTAAAGAAGAAATAGGATGTCAAATTTTCTCCTTTTTTAGCACTATTATCCCCACTACGGCTCATAAGTTTAAAGCAGGCATAGATCCTACAGATCTATAGCATTTATCTGCACAAGGGTGAAGTTCATTAGCAGAGAGCCTGCATATTCCTACATCAGCACATCCCCAAAGGGCTGCACTCTCCTTAAGGATGTATGCAGAAAGGCAAAGGATCAGGAGGACTAGAAATACCAGCATAGACTGTAACAAAAATGACTTACCAGAGAAGCAGCCCAGAAGGACCAGCCCAAGAAGGGCAAAGCTACTTGCCATCTTCATAGCAGCGGAGGAGGCTGTAACGACTGTTACTTGCAAGTCGGTTGCTGGTGAGTTTGTGGCTGTTTCTCAGCCTTCACCCCACTATATATACACATCTCCCAGACCTTGTGAAGTCATCACAGAAAGTAATTATTTGCTCTGTAAACGAAGAAAATTGTATTGATTATTGAGTCGAGATCTAAAGAATACTTGTTTGTTAGAGAGATGCCCAGAAGAATTAAACAAAAATGTGAGCTACACCCAGCTTGTTAACAAAGGCGCCCTGCTGTACAATGGGTGATTTGTACTTTCCAAACAAGAGCACTGTCTGAATACTGGATGTTGTGAAATTACTTATGGAAGTTGGGGAAGGAAAAAAAAAAAGGCCATTTGTTGGAAGTGTTTGACTTGTGCACACATATCACATATGCTAGAGAGCAATTGGGCTCCAGGAGAATTTCATGGTGCAGCAGAGTGGGGGGACAGCAGCATGGGACACTCTAAGCTTTTACAGACCTAAAATCTGGGGTTTGACAGGTACTTTAAATGTGTTGAGGGCTCAATGAATCTCTCCACACTCTCTCCTGTAGTTTCCTGGTACACTGGATTTCTCACCAGCAGGAAGGAAACAGTCATCACAAGAGGAAAACACTACCTAAAACCTCAGAAGTTTATAAGATATTTCTATGTAGGAGCAAGAGTTATTCATCTGTTGGCAATAGAAATGAGTGTGATTCAGAAATTATGAGAACAAGTAGCCTTAAATCTGGACTGGGATAATGTTTCCCATTAATGGCAAACAAGTGACATTCTGTGCAGGTGAAATAGAATCATAGAATTTAAGGGTTGGAATGGACCTTACAGATTATCTAGTCCCAACCCTCCCTGCCCTGAGCAGGGACACCTCCTCACTAGATCAGGTTGCTCAAGGCTCATCCAGCCTGGCCTTGAACACCACAGGGTTGAGGCAGCCACCACATCCCTGGACAACTTGTTCCAATGTCTCACCACCCTTAATACCAAAAACATTCCAGAAAAATTTCCAGTAGCTCCAAAAAGAAGGCAAGCCATCATGCTCCCCCCTTCCCCCTCAATTATATGGCATTAAATTTAGAGTGTCAGCTGAAAGTCGTGTTTTAGGGAAGATAAGTGAAAAATAATGTGCTAGGCTCTGCTAAGTGGTTCAACTCTATCGCAACGGTATGGAAAAACAAATAAGGGATATTGCATAAAATAATACATTTTTGATTCAAGGTAGTCACGGAAGGAAGTGACGGATGCAACTTGTTTGTGCATTAGAAGAAGCTTGATTCATACATGTGGCTTGAAGGCAGCCTGAGTTTTAAATAGAAAATCAGAATTGGTTTTCTTATTATCCTGGGAGATGTTCAACACTTGGCATGAGCAGATAAATCATAAAATGTAGCTGAAAGTGTAAGGGAACTGCAGTGGCAGAATCAAGCTTGAGGGATTTGGCCTGTTTATATCAATGAAATCATTTTCCTGAAAAATAAATGAATAATGCTATTTGGATCTCATTCACAAATATCACAAGTTGAAGGGTTCCTTTGAAAGTTGTTTCTGTTGCATTCTTAGCATCCTGAGTGAGTTGACTTTCATATTCCTTCAACTGATTGTAAGCGTATTTGGAAAGGAAGCAGTAGTCACGGAAGCATTAATATTGATTATTCTCCAGGGGCAAGAATGCCAGAGCCTGAAAACAAAGCTTCCTCAGAAGTTGCACCAGCCGCTGGTGGAGGCAGTGCTTGCCAGCTCTGTGGTGGTTAGGGAGGCTACAGGAACAGAACCTTTCTCCTCTTTAGCCCTGCAACCAAAGCTCCTCCATACCCACCTCCAGATCCAGCAGAAACTGCTGCTTCTCCTGTTGCCTCTCCTGCAAGGCTGAAGTCATGCAGGAGCTGTTGTGAGTGGCAGGTATCTGTCAGGGAGTGGCATCACTCTCGTGCTTGGCTGACACCTGCCCTTTCATTAGTCAGATCTCCTGTGGAGATCCCCTTTGGCCCACATGCTGCTTCTGAGGGCCTGGGTGGCCAGTCAGGACTGCTCCAAAAGCAGTTCTTCCCCATCAGTGACCCCTGACACTTCACAGGGAGAAAAGGAGAAGCAAGGAAGGAGCCTTGCTACAGGGTCTGTGAGAAGGGGTGGGAGGTAATGGGCAGCAGCCAGGGCAGGACTGCAAGAGCTGCTGGGGCAGGTGTGACAGGATTGCACAAGGAGCCCCATTAATAGGAAACAGGGGGAATGGGATGGGAGTAATTGTGAGGAAGTAAAGGGGTTGAAAACAGGTGTTAAGAGCACTCCAAAACAACTGTCCCCATGCATTTGGAAGAGTGAGCCTCAGGAAATGTCACACATGTGTTGCAAATGGGAAGGGCAAAGTGAACCCACCTGCTCAAACCCCTCTGTGATATGTGTGATGGTGCCAAACTCCTCAGAGGTGCTCAGTGACAGGACAAGAAGTGAAGTGCATAAACTAAAACGCAAGAAGTTCCACCTCAACATGAGGAAGAACTTCTTTCCATTGGGGGTTGCAGAGCACTGAAACAGGCAGCCCAGGGAGGTCATGGAGTCTCCCACTCTGGAGATGTTCAAAGCCCACCCAGATACATTCCTGTGTCACCTGTGCTAGGTGACCCTGTCTTGGTAGGAGCGTTGGATTAGATGATCTCCAGAGGTCCTAACTATTCTGGAATTCTGTGTTTCTGAGATTTAGAGGTATCATGATGGTGAGCTCAGTTAAATGACTTTGGGCACAGGATTATTTGAATGTTTTTACAGATATGAGATCCATAGGAAAGGTAAAATAAGACTCTTCCTGGCTTAGAGGGCTAATATCCAAGACGGTTATGTCCATGTAAATGGAGTAAATGTTGGCCATCATATGATGAGCCCTCTTGTGTTAAGGTAAATTTCCAGTAACCCTGGAAATTCTACCCAGTTTCTAATCCAGCAGTCTTACTTCTCATAGCACTGAGATTTTTGCTGGGAAGCTTTTCCTCTGGTCCTCAGACTCCCTATTTCAAGCAAGTCCACAGTCTACCACATCTGAAAAAATTCTTCATTGATGTTCCCTGCTTTAATTTAAAACTTGCCACAAGCTTAATCTGGCTACAAAGAGCAATGCTATTTTAATTGTTACAAATCAAAAAGGTGGATGTGTGCATGCAAGACCACGTGTTGTGATTCCAGCTGCAGTATCATCGTCCTTGCTCTGGTATCCTGCTGTCACATCGTAACCGAGAACAAAGCAGGACCATGCTCCAGTCTATGCTGCTGGAGACACAGTTGCAAACGGCGTTTCTCTGCGGTTGAGTGGCGATGTGTCACACTGCAAGAGCTCCCAAACAGGTTGCTGTTCCCAGACCTCTGCACACGGGGGCAGAGCTGGATCTTCTATGAGAACATAAATTCAATTTACAGCTAGCAAATCCCCTGCTCTAAGCCGCACTCACCTAATATTTCTCCTTGTTCAGCTATCTGATTGCTGCCTGCATATCTCCAGTCTTTTAAGCATAGATGATATCACAGGCAAAGGTGTCTGGAATAATTCCACTGTCTGGGAGCTGCAAAAGGCTGAGGATCCCAATCCTTCAGTGAATCTCAGCTCTGCCTCACTGCAATAGCTCTGGTGCAACCAGCCCCCAAAAATGACATCTCCAGTGAATTTCCTTTTAAAACATCATTTCATTTTTCTCTGCATCAAGAAAGAATGCAGTAACAAACCATTTATCCTGAACGCAGCCTCAGAGAGAAACTGCATTAACAGAAAGGTCTAGACTGGCCTGAGGTATATTTTGGCCAGCAACAAGTAGAACAGTGCACTAAAACAGAAGCTTTGATATAAAATAGAGCGGAACAAAATAACTAGATACAACGTATTAATCAGGTTATGGGGTAATTGAATGGCATTTCCTAAATTCACAAACATCAGATAATGACATCAAGTGCCAAGGTACTGCTTAAAGAATTGTACCATAAAATACCTCGGCAGGACGACAATGTTTCCTGCCTCGAATTTCCTGGAGGGAGAGTTAGATTAGTAATGGTGAGACGATTTTGTGCTGTTGTGGCAGGATTTTATTAAGAAGCAATAAAAAAAATTATTTCCAACGAGGTGCCCATAAAACAGGACTGTCTTCCTCTCCATCCTAAGGAGCGGGATGGGCAGGATGAGCCTGCTGGGGCAAGAGGTTGGGGGTGCTGCAAGGGTCCTGCTCTGCTCCCAGTTACTCCTGAGAAATACTCCTAACTGCACCAGGATGGAGGATTTGTCACCATTCATTTCTACTCACAGTTTCCCCTCAATTGCCTGCTGGATTTTCCTGTTTAGCAGACACGGCCCCTGGAAGATTCCCTCTGAGGATCACAGGGATCTTGAGTGCAATCAAGAGCTCTGCTTGTCCCCAGGATATCAGGGTTCCTGAGGACCATCCTCATTCTCTCTGCTGCTCCCCAGAAAAGAAAGTAAGTGTTGGAGCTGGTGTTCTCTGACCCTGACTCACTGTCAGAAGGAGTATGAAGCCCCTGAGCTCCACAACCCCAGCACCACTTCCCAGAGCCTCAGCTTATCTTGGTCCTCTGAAATCGCATCTGACACTCAGATGCCTTCCTGCTCACAGACCTCCCTCTCACAGGAGGGACATTCCAGCCCCGGGAAGGGACTTGGCACTAAATGGTCGCAGAGAGTCGTGTCTTTTGGAAATAAATTGTCTCCTTTCAGAGAGCTGCACTCTCCAGTCTCTGGGAAGTGACACATTGTCACTTAAGATCATTAACTATTTGACTGTGAAACTGCTGCCTGTACAGCACACCACACTGCCAGCGCCTGGCTGCTAATGAATAATAAATTAACACCATGACTCTGAGCCCTTCCTTTCATCAGCTGAGATTTCCAGAGGCCGAAGAATCTCAAAGGATCCTCTACAAGCAACAGTCAACGTAATTACCTACAAGCAGCAGCTAAGTGATGGGTGAGGTGCAGAAACAGGCTGTGGCAGTGATTGCTAGCAGTCCTCGGGACATCAGGTCTGTTAGGACTGGCTGCCCACTGGTTTTCAGCGATATCCTGCAGCAATGAACGTTACAAACATGAACGTGGGCAGATGAGTGTCTGCCTGCCCAGAGAAAACATCCTGTGCCATTGCTTTTTGAAGCAAAGCAGACTGCAAAAGGGCTCGTCTCACCTAAAGGTGGGTTTCTGTCCTGCTTGCCAGGGGAAGAGAGAGGCAGCTTGGAATCTGACCACCTTTACCTCTTCTCATGTGGGCATAAGAAACTGGGGCTAACCCTGAAAACTGAAACAGGAATGAGCAGCTCACAGTGCCAGCAAGACCCTCTGTGCTGCCATGGCTTTTTCAGAACAGCTCCAAAACACCTCAGCTGCAACGACCTTGGGGCTGTCTCTAAGGATGTGAAATGTTGAGGTTTGCCTGGGGCCTCTTCGTGCTGCCAATCTGTGAAACAGTAATGCTCAGTGAGGCCACAGGTATTTGACATCAGGGACTGAGGAGGCTACAGTTCCCACCACCCCAGCAGAGAGTGTCAGTCCAAGTTACCCTTTAGTGGAATAAATTGACTGGAGCATTACACCAGGATGCATCTCCAGCCCTGGGTGTCTTTGGGAAAGCTGGATGAAGGCAGATGCCTACGAGATCTACCCATTGCCTTTGTGGTTGGGGTTGATCTTTTTGTAGATCAGAACATTGTATTCCTCCTCCCTGTAATTTGCCCATGAATTCCTGCACCCCAGGATTGTGGCAGTGATATAATAATGTGATATCCTAGGTAAAACCAGAATGAGACTCAAGCAAGACATAAATGCTGACAAGGTTTTTTTTTTTATTAAGCAGAGGTTTCAAGGGTCAGAAGCTTTCAAGGGTCAGGCCAGGGCTTTAGGAAATCATCTGCCATGGGTAGAAAATTGCCAGGGAGGGATCCTCTTTCTCAGCTGAAGCGGGTTGAGGACTCAACATGCTTTAAGAGCACGCAAGCGAAGAACCCGACGGCTTTTCCTGTGGAGAAGGAAATCAGTTTCTCAGAGACAGAATATCTGAGCTTTTGCTGTTGGTCTGTCCCTCCTCTACACCACAGAGGAACTTCTGAACTCTATTCCAGCTATTTCCTTTTACTGTTAACATATAAAGGCAAGATAAATTCTTAATTTCAAAGAAAAAAAAGAAAGCACTTCAGCAAATTACTCAAGAGAGAAATGAAGAACTCTACTAAAAGTTACACCTTTATACCTGAAAGAAAGGAATTCCTGGCAAACTCTCCCAATAAAAAACTGACCTTTGCTAGTGAGAGAACAAGTAAACACAAACTAAAAGAACTTTACTTCTCCAATCTCTGAGACTGATTAGTTAGTTTAAGTTCTTAGTTCACCACTTAGTTAAATTTATTTCACACTTACAGGAATGCGTTGCAGAATGCACATTGATTGGAATACGTGACACCATCAGATCCACAGTGAGGGATGTACTCCATGGTGCAGAAATTTCTGGGTACACTGTAGGCCCTGCAGTAGTCTGATGCACGCTGTACTCAGAAAAAAAAAAAAGAGTTCTCAACCAAAGATATGGAAGAAAGGTGAAATTAGGAGACCCCACACATACTCTGAGCTCCCCATTAACTGCCCAGAAGCAGATACTGAGAAAAAGTCAAGGGACAGGGCAGGATACAGTGGTACTTTGCCTCCAGTGATGTGGAGCCTGTGCAACCACTGCAAATGATGCTGCAGTAACTTTGACAGCAACTTGGACATGGACTGAATACTGCTCTAGTCGTTGAAACTATCATCAGATGAAAATGGCAATTTCACCCAATAATATCTGTGGCAAATATTGCTCAGACACTTGGATGTCTCAGGATTTTCAAAGGCTAGATCACAATGTGATTAGGAAGGATTTATACAGAAAGTGCTTTAAGGAAAGAAAGGATGGAAAATAGAAAGATCTGTCTCTTACCTGCAGTGAATCAGCAGCTGGGAAAAAAAAAAAAAAAGGAAGAAAAAAAGGAAATATGTTACAAATGCAATTCATGGATTCTGTTAGAGTTAAAATCTGTGAACACATGCCCTGAATTCACAACTTCCAATTCGCTGTGTGTTAGCAAATTACTTCTAAGACAAAAGGAATTTCAGGCAAAATTTTGTGTCCTGCTGTACGTTGATTCTGTAGTGTTTTTTTTTAATGAGGGTTACAGTCAGGATGAAAAAGAGTGTGCAAAATGAAAGAAGAGAAAGACATTTCCCATGGTTCAAAAAACAAAGCAGGACATGTACACAAAGCAATGCAAGTTGTTGAGGGAAACAGGGTCAAAATCCTGACAAATACACAGAAGCAGCATCTTATATGCATGGCCACTATTAGTCTTAAATGAGAGGAGTATTTAGTAAGATGTAAATTTATAAAGCCTCTACAGCAGTTCAGGCTCTTGAGCTGCATCTCAGTTCAGGGTGACTACAAGAAACATTCGCTTTCATTCAGTAAAATAATTTGTGTTTCTGCAACATTTCAGAGGTTAAATACTGGATGTCTGAGTCTCTGGGTTGTACCACGTACATGTCACTTCTTTCATTATGCATAAACGAGTGCTGAGAGTAGAGCTGTTCCCACAGTTGCTCTTACCCACTCAGTTCTGTTGCTAAAATATTACCCCATAAGTGATAGTCTTTGATGTCAAGTCTTTTCAACACTATCTTTCTAGGAGTAAATAAGTCCTTGCAGAATGAAGCTCTTTCCAGTCTAAGGATGTTTTTTCGTGGTTCTAAAGACAGTCAGCGCTTCCTCAAAGGCAGAGCAGGAGGCAGTGGGGCCACTCACCTGTGATGCAGCAAAGGGCCAGGGAGATCAGCAGCAACACGCCTGTCGCCTTCATGGTGGCTGGAGTGTCTGTGAGCAGTGGAGCTTGGCTTCTGCTCAGTGAACACAACCTTGATTCTGCCCTCGGGTGGTAACCGCGCTTATATGTACACCCACACTGTCGGGGGGAGTGTGTGTGTGTGTGTGTGTGTGTTTGTGCATGGTCATATTTGGTTTATCCACCCATATTCTGGAGTAACACTCCCAGTCTTTTGTTGCAGCAGCAATCTTGATAGAGGCAAACTGTGCTGTAAGCCAGGAAGAATGTTTCCTCATCAACGGGAGTCACAAGAAGTTTAGATGTGTTAGATACACCCTCTGTGTCGTTATTTTAAGTGAAATATGTGACAGTTTCCTTCTGAAGGACCATAGAAAATTCCTGCAGGCAAAAGAGCGACTGTACAAACCTGAGCGGCGACAGCTGTCAGATTTTCTCTGTGAGCACCTATCAGTGCTATTTACGTGCAGTGATTTTTTTTCACAAGAAAAACATTGAATGAAATGCTTCCAGAGCAGGAAGTCGCTCCTTTTATTTCTGTGCTTCACTCCAGTAGAGCATCATTAAGTTATAGTGAAACCAAGGAAACAGTGAACTGGGAAGACAAGCAAGAGGGCTTGATTGAGGCTCCCAGACACTGAAGGGAGCACTTGGATGACAAGGGATGGAGCAACTTTTATGGGATTATGCAAATAATTTACAATTGTTATTTCCCTAAAAGCCATTAGTATTGTGGGTTAGATTTGCAGTAATAGGCTTTTAGTAGGATGATGACAGAATGATGTGAGACCTTAGTGTGGATCCTAGAAAAGTTGAACCCAATCTGGAAATTGCTGCTTCATCCATCTGCCCATCTCAACATAAATCCTTTGTTTTACCACACCAAAGCATCACTTTTTGGGATTACCTCATTCCTTCAAGGAAAACAAGCATCCCTCTTCCTTTGGCTCCCAGAAGAACTGCATATGGGAAACATTACATTTTAGAAGAGATATGCCCAATTTATTTATGTTTCTCTTGTGTGGATCAAAGAAACATCAATTCAATACTCAAACAGAGAACAAAAGCAACATAAATTTCACAGACAATACGCCAATGACAGGTCACACACTGAAAAAACAGAAGGATACTTTATCCCTGGGTTGTGAAACACTGCTGAAATACTTCTTGGGCTGGCAAAGAGCATTGTGTTATTGAAGCCAAGAGAGAAGACAAGTAGGCAGGAGTAGGCACCACCCTTAGGAAGGCATTTATCTTAAAACACTTGGAGGTTGTTAAAGGATGGTTGCAAGATGAGAAAAACCTAATAATAAGTCAGTTGGAGGACCTAGGCAAATACACAGGGACCATGCACGTGTCTGAAAAATATGGATGGGCTTTGCCAACAGATTGCCCTTGCAGAGTGCTACACCTCAGGTGAGGATGATGCTGAGGAGGACAGGGATCAGCTCTGGGCACAGACACCACAAGCTGATCCCTGGGCTTTGCTGATGCTGCTTACTCAGGGAAAATGCACCAGGATTACTTTAGGAGAGATCTGCCTGTGTCACCACAACAGAGAGGCACTTCAGCCCTTTACAATGTCAGACATGTAAAGGGTCTGAACACTACTGCAAGCAAACTATCATTTATGTGCAAAGACACACAGCTCTGGGGCTTCTGCATCTGTATTTAATTTTCTGCCTTTTATGAGAGGGAGGGGAGCAAGACGTTGCTCTTGTTATATCCCAGAGCTATGAGCACGTAACCTATTCAGCCTGGCACCATCATTCAACGAATCAGAAGGAAATGTTTCATGAGACAACACATGAAACAAGACAAAGAAATGTTGCTGATTTAGTTTATTGAGAAAGAAAATCAGAAATGAGCTGAGTTCCCCAGAGGGTGAGATGAACTGAGGTGAGCTCTTTAGCTGGGATTTGCCAGTGGGGATCCTGTGGTGAATTCTCTCATCACTGATACTCAGCATTTTCCAAAATGGCTTAAAGTGAGAGTCCCATTGCTGTCCCTGAAAGCAAGGAGAGGAAAGAATGAATTAGACACAGAGTCCTGCCTGCTATAATCTATCCTTTTGCTTGGCTCCTAGAGATGGTATCAGATGGGATCCTGCCCCAGAGCCAAGAAACTTGCAGACTCAATAATCAAATAGCTAATAGGATTCCAAGAGATGGGTGGAACAATTTAACCCATTCTTAAGACTGAAAATATTTGTGGGGAAACTATAGTGAAATTTCAAAAGTGATTCTTTTCACAATGTGCTAGAAAAATTCCATTAAGGTTATATATTCTTCAAATCATTCATACTAAGAAAACAGATGTAGCTCTTTGCATGCTCTGATGAACAAAAAGAATGGTTGGTGTGGTGGTTGGCATTCTCTCCTGCCCCAAATCCCAAATCAACACTGTCCAGCAAACAAGAAAGTGTTAACTGTGCAAACTTGTGCCCAGGAGGCAACTGATAACATGAATGTGATTGATGTTTGCACATACACGACTGCGTTGCAGAAGTTACACTTATTGCTGTATGTTGTGTTGTCAGAGCCACAGAGAGGCATGTAGTCAAGTGAGCAGGCAGGTTTAGGGTAATCACTGCAGTCAACCTGCAAAAAAATAAAACAAAATGAAAGAGTCTAATGTAAAGGAGTCAATAGCAGAAGGGCTTGAACCCTGAGCTACAGCTGCAGTGCTAATGATAACGACCCAACTAAAAGTAATTAACTTCCTTGCACATCTGATATAAACTGAGGTGTCAGTCTCTCCTATGCCAGGAGAATTTAATAATATAAAAATAGATCATAATTTCCTGTTTGAAGAGGTGTATATCATAACCTGATCACAGCATTTTGAAGCAGCAGCAGTTCACTCAGTGAAGGTGCCATGCTCGTGATCATTTTGCACTGTGCTCCCAAGCCAGCCAGGAAATTAAATGGAAAAACACTGGTGTCTGGAGAAGTGTAGGTGCTGATTTCTCTATAAGCGTCCAGTATCTCTCCTGCAGTCTTAAAACAGGAAAACCAGCACTTAACCGGATACTGTGAGAATGGGATTCTCTTCCCCGGTGCAATGGGTGTTACACTGTGGAGTAGCATTGTAGGGCAAAAAATGTATATGGGTGCAGGAAGAGGCTCAGGAATTTCATGGAGGAGAAATTTATGCTTAATGACTACACAGAAATCACATGTAGCTGAGGTCAATCACCTGAAAATAGCTGGAGGCTGGAAGAGTACAAGTCCCGTACATATTTCACCCTCAATCTCTCTTACACAACTCTCACAGCCCCTGCCAACAGCAGGCTCTGCATCAAGTCGTCACAGGCTTGATGGACCATTGGTCTGACCCCAAAAGCCATTCTCTGTTCTTATTCTCAGTTCTGCCCTGATGGATTATTTCTGCTACTACTCTCTTACTGATCCCTTCCTGAGCAGTCACCCGCTTCCTTTTCTGGCATTCGCACGAATAATGTGTATTACGTGTAGAGAAAGCAAAATCTTCCTCATGCTGAAGCACAGCAGCAGTTATGCTCCTGTAGGAAGCTGCTGGTCCAGGGGCTGCTGCAGGACCAAAACCCAGTCCCTCATCACACAATTCACTTACTGAAACAATTTCCTTCTTACATTCACCATCGTTCTTCTTGCCAACACTGGTTCCAGACTCTCTGGGAAGGGAGGAGACCCAAGTTAGGGAGCTCTACAAGCAACCTGTTCTGCTGACCCCCATGACCCAACAATGCTTAGCAGCCTCAGGCAGAATGTACATGATACAGGAGACATCCAGCTTAGGCTGTGTCCACATGGCTCAAGTGGTGCCTGCCAGAGTGCTGGTTCATAGCAGGATGTGAAGGACAAGGGAGCCCAGGGAATTAGGGTGAATGAGGAGATCGGTTGTGTGACAACCTAGATGCACCTTAGGTGAGTTGTTGTCCTCTACAAGGCAGCATCTGCCACATAGACCCTTATACCTTAGTTAAGAGAAGCATTCTGTCCTGTGTTAGATCCCCATCCAAGCCACTACTTCTCTCTCTAGATCAAAGGCACAGTTTTTCTTCTAATCACAAAGGAAAACATGGTCTAGTCACCAGGGGAAGAGGAGGGTCAAAGTCCAAGCACCTTACAGAAAAGGCCTTGGTAGAAGTCCTGATATTCAAAAAGGAGAAGTTGCCAAGGAGCACTGAGCACTCATTGTCCCTATGCACACACAGTACTCACAGGCTACGGGCACAGAGCAGGCACTCGTTGTCATAGGTGACCCAGTCGGTACCGCAGACAGGGTTGATGTCTTTGTTGCAGAGCAACCCCACTTTGCCTTCCTCACTTGTCATGTTGGGATACCTACTGCAGTCCACCTGTTGAAGGAACACACAGCAAAGCACTGCTGAAGGTTTACCTACAGGAAGCAAGTGGATCTGGTGACTGTGTCTGCCTGGCCAAGCAGGATACCACCACAGCAGGAAAAAAGCTTTTTTGTGTGTTACCATGATGACAGTTCACTTGCAGATGATCAATGCAAGATTCTGACATCTCATACGTACTGTAGATCAGGGTTTGAATTATTTCTTGGGGTACTCAATAAGCAGCTTTGGCCACTCAGAAGCAGGACATACTCCTTGTTTTGCCCTTGGTTTCACTTACAGGGACAATTTCCTTGCATTCTCCATCGTAGTCTTTGCTGACATTGGTTCCATATTCTCTGGAGAGGGAAAGACAAATGTCAGGAAGTTCAGCAAAGATGCTGGAAATGTGTAACTAGTATGAGGGAAAACTGACTCTTCTCAGTCAGGTTGATATGCTTTTTTTTTTGAGAAGGTACTACCATCCTCCTTAACCAGCTAGCATTGAGTGGCTGGCAGGGATCTAAAACCCTGACAGCTTTAGGAACATTTCGGGCAGCTCAGAGCAGAGCATCTCTCCATCCCTTTGCTCTGCTTTGCTGTGATGAGATGTGCTCTTGGAGCTGTCATGTGGCTGAGCCTTGAGCTGGAGAAGAAAAACACCAGCAAAAGAGGGACACAGTGACTAAAGCAACGTCTAAGCACCGGAGCACCACACAGTGATACCCAAGCTCGTTTTGAAGGAATTGACATAAGTGACATATGACAGATCACTGATTCTTGAAAAGTGGTGCTGCCAGGAGCCCTAAGCATCACTGCCCAAGGCCTCCTGTGCAGTACATACAGGTTGTAGGCACAGAGCAGGCACTCGTTGCCGTAGGTGACTCCATCGGAACCGCAGATGGGGCTGACGGCCTCGCTGCAGACCAACACCTCTTTGCCCTCCTCATTTGTAGTGTTGGGATATGTACTGCAGTCCACCTGCCAAAGGAATGGACAGCAACAGGGTGGAGAAGATACCTTACATTCACAACTGTCATTTTGATTGAGACAGTGACCAGGTACAATCTGCAGTGGGTTTTTTTCACTACCACAGCATAAACTTGTGCTGGTGGGTCAATCTGGTAACAGGTGAATCCTTCCTACAGAGACCTCTCCACACAGCAGGTGAGGAGGAAGAGGAGGAGGAGGGGAGGGCTATATGGTAAATCAGTGGTAGTCTCTCATGCTCACTTACCATTTTATAAAACTTCTCCATTGGTCCCTTGTTGTTCTATTCCTGTGGCCCCTCCAGTGCACTTCTGGTTTTACTCTTTCATTCTTAATACAAGGATCATGTTTTTGTCGGAGGACTAAGACTAATGACCTGGTATGTGGAAGCTGAAGCACTTCAAAGCATTTTAGTCTTTCAGTAGGTTGCCCTCAGGTGGGTTCTGACACCACAGTCTATTGCTATCAGTTTAGAACCCATCCCAGCTTAAAGCTTAGACCACTTTAAACTTGGTGAGAAATGAATTAATCCAAAACTTTTGTGTCATTACTACTATTACATTATTAATATACAGCATGGATGTAGAGCCAGGAACACTATAATTTCTTGGTTTACACTGTAGAATCTGATTACAATGACACTAGTGTCACACAAGGTGAAAAACAGCTGAGCACATACAGGCTGGAGGTTTATCCCTTTCCTTTGGTTATGTCTTTACCACATACCTGAGAAAAGTGACAGAAAGAAATCTCCCACTCACCTCAACCGCGAAGGTAGTATCTGGAAAAGAAAAGTGAGGCAGAAGGTATGAAACCAAGCCAATATGATAAGACCTCAGTTAAAGCTGGAAATATGGATGTAAAATTCCTATACACAGGACCAAGCTGAATGATTTCCAGAGATTGGTTCTTCAACTAAATAAACTACATCTGACTTTTTTCTCTCTGTTGATAAGCATAATAGCTTTGCTTATTGCTGGCTGTGATGAAACACGTTTTAGAATAGCTTTGTTCTTTTTTAGTTTTGAGGTAGGTAGACTTATTAATCGAAAATAGAATAGCTTTTGCTTCCTTATCTCGTTACATATCCGTTTCGAGCTGCTGTTACGTGTCTGAAAATACACCTGAATCAATACAGACAAATGCAAATAGTCACCTACAGGATAAGCAAATACATACAGCATCTGTTGTCAGAAATACGCATTTTAAAGAAGGTGAGTGGGGAAAAAAAATGCCTTTGACTTTGTAATTTCATCAGTTGTAAATACACAGTGAGAACATCAGATTGTGGCTTGTTTTCATCTCTTGTTGTTCCATTAGCAGAGAAAGTATTGCAGGAAATTTGCCAGGTTCCTGCAAAGAACTTGCCATTACAATATGTTCATGACTAGTTACTGGAGGTCTGACCCTCTACTCATGGCCTTATTTCAAGTATTTATCCATTTGCTGTAATTGTACAAAAAGTCTAAGCAGTGTAATGGTGGTAAAACATCAGTGTACAAAGTGTAACAGCACTAGTTGCCAGCACAAAACTCCACTTGCTGTTATTTGTATTTATGACAGACAACCAGCCACAGCAGTGAGCCATTTAGGACTGCCTTGAAGCACACTCCTGCATCCTGCACGATGCCAACGCACCGAGGCAGCCGAGCTCGCTGAAGGAGATTTTCTCTCTTCAAAGCCACTCTCTTATCCTTTTAAAAAGGCAGCCAGGACTCAGACATGAAGCTTGTGTGGCACCTGGAGAGTTACTCACCTGGGACGCAGCAAAGCGCAAAGGAGAGGAGCACAAAAACACCTGCCGCGGTCATGGTGGAAGTCTTGAGTCTGCAGCTGCCTGCTCCAGTGCTGCTCACGAGATGGTCTCTCCAGGGCTGCCTGCAAATATATACGAAAGCAATGTCTAAACTGTTCAACTGTAACATAAAACAACCAGCAGAATCTGTCACCAGTACAATGAGGCTGGTAATATTTATTGAGGTCTTGACTTTTAGGTAATGGTCTGCGTCTGCTAGGCAATTGATTTTGGCTGGACATCTGGTTAATAGCTCAAGACAAGTATCACATGTTCTCAGTGGTCAAAACCAAACAAACAGCCTTTGGGACAAAAGAAATCTCTTTAGGGTTCTGGTGGTAATTTAAGGAGTGCAAGATATTGGGGGGTGTAAACAGCAGGCCTTTCATTTGTCTCTCAAAGAGCAACATCTCCCATCAGGGAGCAGCTTAAGCAGGATGCAGTACCATCCTGTTTGCCAACCAGGCTTAGCCTCTGCTTTCCCTTCTGGTTTCGGGTGGGGTTTTTTTCCCAGATATTCACCACTAGGTACAAACACAGGTCACGTGTGGCTTTGCCATCAGCAGCAGAACTGGTTAAGCTTTGTCAGGCAAGTCTGGCAGGACTGTGTCTAACCTGTGAAGCCAATGGTATTTAGCACTGGTTCGGTTAAAGCAAAGGCTTCTTGACAGTTTATCTGCCTGAGTACAAAAAGCTCAGTAGAAGACTTGAAACCAGGTTGAAATCTGTCAAATGCCACTAAAAATGTCACTTGAACCTTACCAGCAGGGAGCACTTATTTACAGACCCAGTCCCAGTTAAACACACCGACCGATTCAGAGTGTTCCGCCAAGCCATCTGAAGAACAAAAGACACTGAAGGTTTGGGAACCTATTTACATAGCACCAGCTATGCTTGAAAGTACAGTAGGTCCTTTCCTCTTGCAGATATTTCAGAAAATGATACTGAAAATATAGAACCTGGCCCAATTTTCCTGTCTGTCTCGCACCACCAGCCTTTGTGTCATCTCCAAATTGCTCCTTCCTAGTAGGAGATCTGTACCTCTGCTGTTTTAATTTTGCAGGAGTGAGTTCTGCCTGCAACCAATGTTTCTCATCCCTTTCACAGGTCAAAAATGGCAAGAATACCTGGGAGGTTTTTTGGTTATGGGAGCTAAGCATTGTGCATAGGGTAGACTTCAGAACCATGGGAGCTGCAGAGGAAAAGGTGCTTTACAGGTGCTGCCTTGACCAAGCAAGGCACCACCCATTAGACAAATGGAATTCAGCTGAAGTCATTGAAATTCAGCCCAAGCAGATGTGTCTGATACATCACAGTAGTCTAAAGGGCATATTTTGATCCTTAAATGCATGTGTTGCATGGAATCACCTATCCTGGCACTGGCATGTTCAGAAGGCCTCAGCATAGCTGTGTTGATATATAGGTTAAATTTTTACCTGAAAGAGATGGGATTCTTCACAGGGAGAAGCATCAAAATAATTATGCTGCTGTGTTGGTTTCTATAAATTACAGGGAGCATGCATGAATATTTCAGACAGATTTGGCATATCTTCAAGATGTATTGCCCTAATGTGTCTTGTGGATGGCATCTCTGGAAGCCAAATGCTCTTCCCTGAGCCTGTGCAGGAGCACACTGAGGCTGCTGTCATGTGCCACACTTGCTGCTTTCATCAGTTTACCTGTACAGGCTCTGCATAGTTAGAGGAGGACATATCTTTCTGGGTCAAATATGAACTTTGCCACTGCCTTCTCCAGCCAGGCAGAAAGACCTCTGCAAATCATCCTTGCCAGCCTTCCCAGCCCCAACCTGGTAGTTTTTGACAGGTTTCCTTCTGCCTGCTGCCTGCATGCTGCTCCCTGTCCCAGACAGTGCTGTCCTCTAGGTAGGATCAACCTCTCTCCCAAGGGGTGGAGAGCACCTTCCTGCCAAAGGCTGGTGTGTATTGCCTGCATATGCCAGAGAAAAATTTTCCACTGCAGCTGCTGTGTTCAGCACTAGGTCTGGCACTTACTGGCCCTGAGCAACCCAGATTTCCTCTGACCACCACTATGCTGTCCGATGTCCAGCAGATCCATTCCTCCACTCTCTCACCTACAGACAATCTAGGAGACTCAAGTCTGCAACAATTCAGTGGTGGCTGGGGAACACACCAGTCTACCCTGAGCCACTCAAGTACCCCTCAGGCAAGCCACAAAAGTGACACCAAGAAATCACCAGGTTTCAGGCACATGCACAGCCTCCAGCCAGACAACATTCACAGCCTCCCCACCCGGGGTTACAGCTCCAGGTTATCCTGCCTCTGATAACAGTGTGGAAAAACCCCACAGCTGGCTAAGCTCATGCTGTAGGACAGGTTGCTCAGTTCTTAGCTACTCCTGGAAGAACAGTTAGAAAGAGGATTTGGTCTTCAATCCTGCCACTGATCTCGTGCTGTAATCCACTTCATTATGGTCTTAAAATCCTCCAAGTCAGTTGCAGCATACGGCTAATGACCATTTGGCTAAAGGAAAATCCTCCTGTGGGCAGCAGCCAGCACAAGGGCAAAGATCCTACAAGAGAGCTGGAGATGGACTTCTGACAAGGGCATGGAGATAGGACAAGGAGAAAGAGGGTCAGTTCAGATAAAATATTAGGAAGAAATTCTTCCCTGTGAGGGTTCTGAGGCACTGGCACAGGTTGCCCAGAGAAGCTGTAGCTGCTCCATCCTTGGTAGCATTCAAGGCCAGGTTGGATAGGGCTTGGAGCAACCTGGTCTAGTGGAAGATGTCCCTGCCCATGGCAGGGGTTTGGAACAAGATGATTTTTGAGGTCACTTCCCACCAAAAAAAAAAATAATATATGGTTCTGTTATCTACAAGTAAGCAAAGGCAGTGCCACATCTCAGAGTACCACACGCTACGGTCCTGAGCACCATAGGGTCTGTGGGCTGACACTAGGGCAGGATTTGGCCATCATACAACGTCCAGTCTCAAGTAATTTCTTGTTTTATGTTTCCCATTACAGTTTTTTTTCAGTATCAATTTCATATTCTCTGAAAGAATCGAAACCTATGTTGGAACATTTTCTTAGCAGGTATGTGACTTCTCAGAGTAAATAATACATTGATGAATGAATGACAAATTATTTAATATACTTTTGCAAGCACTCCTGGGTTTTGTCACATTAGTTAATTAACAAATATGTGCTGTAAAAGTGGGGAATAACAATAATTACTAGTAGCTCTTTCATGAAATTGCCTCTAATCACTCCAAAATGCCTCCTAAACACAATTCAGACTGCAGTTTTCATCTCTGGCTTTCTTTTGGCCACAGAATGTCCAACAAGTGTTTGCTCTGAGCCACAAGCCTGGAGGAACAGATACAGCACAAATGGGAGCTCTGTCTCTCGCCCAGGGCCTGAAGGCAGTGTTTGAACTAAGCAACAAAGCAAACAAAGTCAGTGATACGATTAAAACATCTCGATAGCAAAACATATCCATGTGCTTATGAACTTATTAAATAGAATTTGATTCAGGTAACGCCAGTAGATGTTTTCCTGAGCTAATAAGACCATGAGCAGAACTTTGTACCCTGCAGGTGAAGGCTAACATGGTTTCACATTACTTATGCAATGAATTAAGTGTACTTGGCCCCACTGCAAGGGCAGATGTTGATACATGGGAATGAGTCCAACAGAGGCCAACAGGCTGGCCAGAGCCTGGGGCACAGGGCATTCCAGGTGAGCTGAAGGAGCTGGGCTTCTTCATCCTGGAGAATAGGTGGCAACAGGGATCACATCGCTATCTGCAGCTCCCTGATGGGGTTATAGATAAGACAGAGCCAGAGTCTTCTCTGAGTCATTATGCAAAAGAATTAAATTCTGAATGAGTGAGGAGGTGTCCCTCGGCATGAGGGTGATCAAGTGCAGGAACAAAAGAGACCACACATGTCATTCCTCAGTGATATTGAGAGCCCAGCTGAACAAGAAAAGGCCTTGGGCACCCTGAGCTGACTCCAACCTTGGCCTTGCTTTGAACAGGGGTTGAGCTAGAGATCTCTAGAGAACTCTTACAACTTGAATTATTTGATGCATATGGTACTTATATAATGCTCTCTCCTATAAATAGTTTTTATTAATAAAGAAACATACTTCTCTATGACCCAAGAGAGCAGCCTCAGAGTTTTCCTACAACCTTTGCTAAAGGGTCACAGCAAAGCTCTACAAAGAGTTCCCAGAACGTTTGTACAGGGGGTTGCCAGTAACATGTACAACAACAAATAAAGAGTATCATTGTCAAAAAAACCCCACTCACTAAATAGTTCAAATTTGAGGATGTTATTAGCTCTCAATGATTTCAAAGTCTCTCCAGTTCTGCAAAAGCCCAGCACCCTGCCACCACAACCCTTCCCCAGAAAGGCATCAGCATTCAAACCTACAGCAAAGTTATCTGCTCCATGGAAAACCAGCTGTCAAAACACTAAACACTGCACTGCCATGTCACAGCCTGGACCAGATGTGGGTCTCAGCAGCACGAGCTCTGAGGACATACATCTATTCCTCACCCCATCAACTCGTGCTGTGCTCCAGCTCTGGGCAGTTTCTGGCTGATGAGGATATCAGGTCAGGGCTCCATTGCACAGGACAGGAGTTACTCACATGAAAGCAGGAAAATGCTGGAATGAGCAGCAGAACAAAGGAGGCAGTAAACAACACAACATTTAGCTGGACACTGACCCAGGTTATTGCTCTTTGAGGTGAACCTACTGCAGGGAAGGTGGGTTAGAAAAAGTGCAGGGATACTAACCTGCAGCTAGTCAGAGGAAATCATTGGTTTAATCAGTTTCCCTGACACTTCAGTGATCTCAGCTGTGCATCACTGAGCACTCCTTTCATCTTTGCCACAGCCCAAGCAGGAACAATGAGCAGGTGGCTGTGGGAAAATAGCAACTGACCTGGGATTGACACCATTCTTGGCCGCCTGGCAGGAGAAAGTCAACGTGGCAACTTCACTGCTAGGGCTGGGAAAGTCTCCTTCA